CACACACACACACACACACATACATACATATGCATATATACACACACACACACACACACACACACATACATACATACCACACACACACTATACATATTATGTACACATATACATATTTAAAAAGGTTAGGCTATATGTCATGAAACTATCCCTTACTAGTAGTAGGTGTCTTGGGATCATTTGACATTTATAATAAGTGTATGTATGTGTATGTGTGTGTGTGTGTGTGTGTGTGAGAGAGAGAGAGAGAGAGAGAGAGAGAAACATACTCTCCAATACAATTAAATGTGTGTCCAGAAAACAAACTTTCTATTAATAATGTAATTAAAATCCACTAAAATGTAGCCGTGGGTCAGTGAGGGACAGTGAAATAAAACAGGAAAATCATCCAAAGCAATCAGTCACCATAAGCCTTTCAGTCCCACTCTCCTGCTATTAGGTCACAAACAAAAGAATCTTGAATAATACTGATTTCAAAAGGACAGCCTTTAAGTGGGTCAGCTTCAAAATAATTGTCTTTTTGGCAAAGATTTCCAAGCTTAGGGAAATACTGTATGCTATGCAAACAGCCATGCTGCAGACTGAGAGGATCACAGGGAAGGCTTCTAAATAAAATCTCTATAGCCTTCCATCTTTCACTGTTGAATCGGTGCCACTTTAAAAAGATGAGCATGAAAGGGCAACTTTATTCCACCACTGTAACAGATTCCGGATGCTGTGTATCTGGTGAACACGAAATAAAATAAAAATAAAAACAAAACCCACGTGTTTCCGAGGACGGGAAAAAAAATGAAAAAAGGGAGATTTCTGGAACATTTGAGCACAACTACTTTCCGTCGCTCAAGATTCAGGCCCGGAAGCTGAACACATGGAAAGCAAAGAAAGCAGCCAGATGACACCGTGGGACCTTGCTGAACCACGGCCCCCGTAAGCGCCGAGACAAGCATGTTCGGATAAAAGCTCATAAAGCTCTCATTGGATACTTACTCTCCGACTTCGTGCAGCTTGTGTGTGGGACAAAGGATATAATAGTCGTACGCTTCGGTTGGCTTCTCATCTGGAAAATGAGACACTGCGTGAGCTTCACCCCATAACTGCCTGCTTGGTGAACTGGTGAGCCCCATCTATTTTTGGGCATAGGGAGTGTGCAGGCCACTCGCTGGCAAAAATCACAGCCCGGTTCAACAGCGGTATTGGGTCCAAGGTCCAGAACACGGTGGTTCGGCATGTTTTACGGAAGTACAGGCAGACTCCTATCTCTGCGGCGTTCTGGGAAGCCGTGTCGCCTAATGGTTCAGAGGAGCCCTGTAAAGGCATGTGTCACCCATCTGTGAAGATGTTTTAAAGCTGTGATTATGGGCATCCACAATTACACGATGCCCTCTCTCTCAGAGGCACAGGGCGGAAGTTTCTGCTCCATCTGGCACAAGCAGGAAACAGCATTATTATCCAACTACTTATACTTCAAAGCACAGGAACCAAAATTGGTAAATATAACCAGGCCACAGTCTCACATGAAACTTATTTTAGTTCTAAATATTACACTCTGTACTTAAATGGGGCAAGTTTCTCCAGTAAATGAGATCAAATCAAAGGAAATTAAATACTAACAAAATGGCTTAATAGTACTGCCAATCAGTGTGAGGGTCTGTCCATACTAACTCATACTCAAAACACAGTTTGCAGGCAATGAGAAAATGAGAAGTTTTTTTTTTTTTCCCTCTCTCAAAACCAGTAGTCCAAGATTTTACATCCTGTAACTGGTACCTGGCAGGAAAATCCACATTACACTTGGAAATGTTTATATTTCCATATATGCATCGACATTTGCAAATGCATTTAAAACATGAAGTTAATGGCCCACAACATATAGTGTTACGTGGTTAAAATCATTAACCATAGATATTTGTCCAGTTTAGTTCCCAAACAGTAGATGTTTGCCCAACAGCACTTCAGCACTGGTACAACAAGATCAACATTAATCCTGCTACATGTTATGAGACATCACTATTAGGTCAAATTACCCACAATTTCCTTAAAACTGTCCACATTTCTCATCTGCACATAAACAGTAACAGTACCAGTACCATGTCTTTAAAGCTATGACCACATTTATTTTTTTATTTTACACGATTTTTACATGATTACTGTACTGTTATGTTAACATGCTGTAATGACCCTTCCTTAATATGATTACTAAAAAGCATGCCGCTCTGTAGCTATGTGCAGGAATTTACATTGGTACTACACATTTTAATGTACATTTTTAATAGTGTTATTATTTATTACTATTATTTTTTCATTTTCGTACTGGTATTTTAGAATTTTGTGACAGGTGCTTGTGCGAGCTGGTTATTTGAATGACTTAATTATAGTTTCTTGTGTCATTCTTCAATGTGTCCCACAGTGTTGATCACTTCACAACTTCCCGTCTTGCGCTGCGAAATGCTCACCATAGATCTGGCCGTTGATTATGTATCTGCAGAGTGCTCCTTCCGTGCCTTTTCCCATCCCGAAACCATTTCCTCTCACCACAACAGTGAAGGATTCTATAGGATGTAAAACACGGGACACTGAGCAGGTCTGCCATGGACAGGAATGCCCTGAGCAGAAAGGCAGGCCGGCTTTACTGCGCACCATTCACGCAGACGCTGGTCGGTTCCACTGAAAGTACCTCTATACAGGACCGCTTCAAAATCTGCAAAAAAATAAATCAGAAATCAGTCAACGGTAATTGGAGTGAGAATGCTGATCATTTAGACTACTTAAGTGCAAACAGTAAGCTGGTAATACTCACAATGATTAGGAAACTGATCTTTCTGTTAACTGACCTTACTAATCTTAATTGTTGTCTGTTGTTTACATGTGTTGGATGCTGCAACCCTCATTTGATTTGCACCTCCTGGATCGTGCACTGAGGCGGCACTTACCCAGAAATCAGAGAAAATACTACAGGTCTAATGTAAATATTTTTCATTCTTGATTGTGAAAAAGAAGCAATGTTCTATTTTACCATTTATATAAGCAAAACTGTAAAAATTGCCTGTTTTTACTGAACACTACTTCTAAGCTTAAAAAAAAAAATATTACAAAGAATCAATCATACATCGCAAATACAAAATAACAGGATGATATCATCTAATAAAGGCCACCTTCTATATTGAAATTTAAAGCCCATCCACTCTCCAGAGACAACAAGCTTTGTCCTAAGAATTTTAATAAAGGGCTACAGAAAAAAGGGGGGAAAAAAGACCCTAGAGGGTTTGCGAATTTGCTTCTCAAAGTCTCTGCAGCCAACTCCCAATAAACAACCCGTGTCTCTTTCAGGACTCCAACTGCTGATGTCCGAGGCCGGCAATGACTTCATTGTCAGTCTGCCAAGGCATGGACAAGACAGCGGAGCTGCTTTAAGAAGACGGAATGCGAGAGAGAAAGGCTCTCCACAGGGCCGATTCATAAAAACGCACATATCTGTTCAGGTCGGCCTTTTTTTTTCCGTCATTGTTGGACAGAAGCATAGCCGTCAGGTACACACAAAATGGACATGTCAAACTCTTTGCAAAGCAGCTCAGAAAAAGGAAAGGATCACATCCAGGGCTGGAAAGTGTTTCATTTTTTTTGACTGCTCTGGCAAGTCATGTATAAACAACAGTGAGCCTTAATCTTTCCATCCCCAACAGAGGCTGCTGCAGAGGCTGCCCTACAGCCCTAAATGGTGATCCTGAGTTACTCCCAATGTCAAATCCTATGCAATTTGCAGGTCTCTCTTTTAAGGGCAGAGGAAATGAGAAATAGTTACGACAATGCCAACCCTTTGAGCAGCTGGCATCGAGTAATGGCTTCTGCCTGAATGAAGCCAGTCAGAAGGCTCATCTAAATATGCTACTTCTCTTTCCATCTTCATTCCTTCCTGGAAACAACTACTTAATGTTGGCCCAACCAAAAGCTTTTTTTTCCCCCACATACATCTGACCACCATTTACATTTTAATATTCAAACTGATTGAAACTTCACATAGAATTGTGATACAGGGCTAAATGCATGAGGCCCCCCATATGCAAAATTTGACAGTCTAAAATCAAAGACGCAAAAAACCTACTGACGAGACAATATCAGCAGAAACATTTAATGCTAATCATAAAACTACATGCTACATGCTTTTAATTTCATTTGCGTCATAAAATATATATTGGTGGCTTGACATACCACTTCTTGCTTGCATGTCAAACCCCACGCCAATACATTTTCTGTTTTATATCCATTATCCAGTCATTAGTTGTTCATACTCAAGATGTTAGGTCATTTTAAGGCAAGATCTCATTACAAGAAATAAAACACCAAGAGTGATGCAATGTTATGATATGCTACAAGAAGACTGCAAAGATTTGAGTTTTAGCGTAAAACACCGCTGGGGGAAAAAAAAAAAGTTTGGAACCCGCGCATTTAGGGAAGTAAATGTAACCATTTCTTATGAATTAGGAAATAAAGCTATACAGCCCAGGTTTGAGTTTTCATGTAATTGATGGGAAAAGAGAAACCACATCTTAATCTGAGCTGCTATTTTGAATCTGTGTACAGCGACAGTTTAGGGACTTTCAGATCAACAATGGCTGGTGACTGAAATATGAGAAGGGATGTACAGTCAAACAGGACACATCTGATGGAGAAACATAACGGTACTTACCGAATTCACAATGCCTCTGAGTGCCTGAAAGCCATCTCTAACAGGGAAAACCTGTTCTTTCGAGTCAGCCACATCTCCGAGCTATTGGGTAGTAAAAACACCACCAACATGCTTTTCATAAGTCAGTCATCCAGCAATTTCAAGCGTACTTGCCCTCAGATTTATTCCCGGCTTTATTCTGAAATGTCGGTGACCAGAACAGGAAACATAAAAAGACTATATTAAAAAAAAAAACAACACGACACGCACTCGGTACTATAAAAGCTTCGCTGCAGAGCACGCTTACTTAATGATCATGCTTCCAGCTTTGCAGTGCAACATGATGTGTGATTGTTAAAGATGTTAACGTCACAGGAATCCTTCTTTTAATCTCATTATACTATATAAACCCAGAAAGCTATAAATAAAGAAAAAGCAATCAAATATAAAGTTTCACATCCTATTTTTTCTGATCTTTGGCTGGCATGAAAATTGTATTTATCAGAAAGAATGTCACAAAAGTCACTGCACACACGCACACGCACACGCACACACACACAATTATAAGATTACTATTCACCCAGCTGCATCTCTTTGGACTGCAGGAAAAACCCAGATGCTTTTAAATAAGATGCTTATTTTTTTTTTTAAAATAAGCGGATCCTTCAGAAAGACCCTCACCTGATTCTCATCGAAATCCTTCACGCCAACACAGTAAACTCTCGCACCATAGTCTCGTGCAATATTTGCCTGTGGTATCCAAAAGAGAAATCGCATCAAAAAGTCATTTACTAAGAAACTATAGATATTATACACACAGACAACATTCAATATTCATTTTGAACAGCTATAGCACTGATCTAAATTTTACTGGCACGTGATTGCACCTCTTTCACTGTCATTTGGTGGAGAAAGCCATCCAGCTTCCCATCAGTTAAGCCAATAATAATGCTGGAAGACTTTGATTTCTGATCCTTCATCTGTTCTGTCACCTAGGCAAAAAAGCAAGAATGCAATTTAGATACACATTTTGATTATAGAGCATCTTTTGCATACTGCTATGTTGACTGCTGCACAATTCCACAAGATACAAGATTTTTTTCCTGTCATCATGTTATATTAGGGCCAGATCCTAAACTGAACTATTAGATGGTTACTCCACTGGGCACATTCCAGGAAATGCAGTTTACCGTAATGAAACTGAACTTCTGAAAAGGATGGTCATAGATAAAACTGCCCTATGTGGGGAATAAAATTATGTTTCCCCACAACGGAGAGTGAACGACTAGTCACATGACCAATGGAACAAGATACCTGCCATTGAGATGCATGCAACACATAAGTGTAGCACAATCACAGTGAACGGGGCAAAAATCACATACAAAAGCCTGATCAAAAATCAATTGCTAATAATTAATTTTGTATAAATTTAAGCACTGTACACAGGACAGGTTTATATATCCCAGTTTCACATATCTATGAATGAAATCTAAGGAGTTTACTTTTTTTTTAAATTCTGGTGACCCACCTTCTGAAATCCTTCATGCATGTATGTTTCACCTGACGGTTTCACTTGACTTAATCGCAGTAGCCCTTTTTCTATTTCATAGCTAAAAAAAAAAAAGTAACGTGTTCACTGCAAAAGCTGTTCCTGTTATTACATACAATAGTGTATATCATTCAGAGCTACCCATATACACAACATGCACAAATCACATCTATTATTGTAAAGTACTTTATTGCAATAAATAAATAAATAAACAAATAGTAAAAGCACCTGTTTCCAGTGAGTGGCAACATTACTTCTGCCTTAGAGGAGAAAACAATGAATGACACTCTTGTCCTTGGGCTGGAAAAAGAATAAAAAATGAAATACCGATATCCCTAAGAACAAAAACAGTAGGTGCAAGTCTAGTAGAGAAATTCAACCTTTGTTGCTGTTATATTATTATCCCTGATTATTATTAATATTAATTATAATCATGTTTCTATTAAATCACACATTAATGTTGTAATTTCATAATCAATATAGTTACCTATATTGTCAAAGGCACCATTTTCAAATGTATGTTTTTAATAAATAGAAGCCGGGCTCTTCCACCAGGCTTTGCAAGATTGACCTCAAGCATTCTGCATTGCAGCATAAGGTTCTGTTTATCTTCACATCACAAAAGTGGCATTTATCGTCACCCACAAGACACATGGCACCTTCGCCCACAACATTAGCACTCCAAAGTACCAAAGGCAGGTTTTGCATAGGACTAAATAGGCTTTGTTATATCAAAGTACTTTCTGTGATTTCCAGGCATCTACACATCTCTTTTTAATGAATGTCACTATGTCCAAACAGATATTTTTTTTCAGTTGCAACTTCACCATTACATCACACATTAAGAATTTAAGTTTGTAGCAAGGACACCCTGCCAGAACACACTTAATCAGAAAATGTGCTTGCAGGTGACAAATCAACCACATAGTTCATTGCTTCATGGATTCTTAGTCTGACAGCTGAGAGAACAGAATACAAAGAGACTCCCAACAACAGAACTGATTAACAATGGTGGCACAATCAACCCTTTTGAAATGAAAGGGTGTAGAGCTGAGCCGAGAACCTGATTATTCAGTATTTGGCTTCGCAAATCTGTTGCTAACATTACTTGTCCATCACCAATAGCTAGAATATGTGTGGTACTGGATCCATCAGTCCAAATGGCCATCCTCACAGTCCAGAAGTCTAATCCTCTGCCACCCACTCCCACCTGGCCCCTTGGCTAATTTCAACAGTAAATCATTTTATTTTGAATTGGCCATCGTCATCAGTAATTCCCATAAACTGAGGTAACACTGCATAAGTTAACGTCAATCACAAATATGAAAACAGATGACTTTTTAATGAAGAGGCTGTTTTGACATTTCTCAGAAGAATGTGTTAATTCTACTTTATTTATTTCCTTCATTTAATATACGCTATTGTCCAAAGTGATATTAAGTAGGCAGGCCCACTTTAAGTTTTACTGGCTTCATTATAGATAGCCAAAAATCTGCTTTTGGATATAAAGCGAGCAAAAATAGCTGTACTAAACAATTACACTTCAGAGATATGGGTCTTTGTAGACAGCTTTAGGGTTCTTTTAGCTTCCGAAACCTCTAATTTGGCAGGTGTAAATGTCAAGAATCATTTGTAATCATTTGTACTTCAATGTATTCATTCACCACATTTGTAAAACAATACCTACCTCACAAATCTATGGGTGAGTTGCTCTACAAATTCATAAATCTCATGCCAGTTATGTGCCACACTTCCAGACCTAGAAGAGGAGGGTGAAAAACTATAATTATGTGCATTTATTACCCGTAAATACAGAGTGCTGTATATAGTTATACACAGGCACCTTTTGATGAAAAACTAGTTTACTCTGGTATGATTCAAACCAAATCAGTAATGAGTATTGCAGGTAATATTTCACACTGTTTGGCAACCACTTTCTGAGAGATGGCTAATCAACAATGACAATCTTACTTGCATAATTCAATAGTAAAGTAAGGGAAATACGAATAAACAAAACACTAAACACTTTAGGTCTGTTAGTAAAAATCCCCTTAAAATACAGCATATCAATTTTTATTACGCTGCACATTGCTGGTGCTTTCATCCAAAGCAACTCGCAGTTTTGACAAATGTTTTGCTTTCTGGGATCAATTCAGGTTTCAGATAACCACAAGGTTATTGCGGCACAACCCCTCAAGGACAAACTTCACCTTGCCAATCCATGCTCTTAAGATACAAATGCTACATATAGGGAAGTAATAATGCAATAGTTTTCATGAGAAAAGATAAATATATTCAATGACAGGATGTTTCCAGTCACAAGAAGTAAATCATATTATAATTGGCAAGACCGATGACAGACTAAAAATGACAGAAGCGAAGATAACACTGGAATGTCCCCACTGAGGGCTAACAATAGATGTGGCATACTCAAAACTCAATTAGTTACTGTAGGCCTACATTGTGTGTACAATATGACCTTCAGGTAATGACTACAGTAAGTACTTAATTAAATTAATAATTATAGCTCAATGTATATGCAGAGAACATAAAAGTGTACTAACTAGACAATATTTCTTCTGTTCTCATTTTCTCTCCCCTTCTGGTCATGAAAGGAAAATCAAGACCTGATTTGTGAGTATCGAGAGGTGACATCAAAGCGCATGCAGGAACTCAGTCTGTCTGACATGTTCTCTATAGCAGGCAGAAGATTTGGCACCTCCCATGCATAACTGGAAGTTGCCACCGCATATAACTGCCTAGCATTTCTCAGCCATCAATCAAAATGTACTCCAAGTAGTCATGGTTACAATAGTACGGAGCAGTCACAGTACTTGTTTATGCAGACTATACTAGTCACTATACTTCCTGGGACAAATACTATTTAACAATTTAATAAACATTTTTTAACTGGTGGCAACAATTTAACTTTTTTTTTTCCCGTAACACCCAAGTGGATTCAAATACTTTGGTATTCCACAATATACAGTTGAACAAGAAAAATGACTAAAGTCAAAGACTAAAAAATCTCAATTGTAAGATCAAAGTTATTTTAGTCGGTTTTTAATATTAAAAACAACAAAAAAAATCTCTACATGATATTAAATAATTATGGTCTGTAAAGCCGGGAGGAAGATGGACATTACTAACAACGTTACCCCTGACTTATTACACATAAACATAATAGGTTCAAAGACATCACTGACATCGAGTATGCATCGGTAAAGGCCGTAACAAATATAAATGTGTTTCAAGCAATTTTACATAAAACATGTTGTTTTAGCCAGTCTCAAAATGTATATTGTTAATTAGCATATTTCTTTTCTGCATGATGTTTATGAATGCATATAGGTGAATTAACAATTGTCGGATAAATCAGCAACTCACTGTGCTATCTGGACCTTCTCGCAGTCGTGTGGTTGATAACACACAGATGAAAATAACATACTGATACCGCGCTACACCCATTTCGATATGGCGAAGACGCACTGTATACTTACCTATCTAACACGAAGTAGAGATCAAAAACGCCGCTACAGGACGCCTGCTCGGCGCTACACACCGAGCCGCATACTGAGATTAGAAGCAGTAACACTGCAGTCGCTGAAATAAAACCATTCTCTGTGCTTTTTTCTTTCCCGTCCATGACGGTCGTTAACGTCCACTTTCGGATCCGCGTAGCGGCAACAGCAGCAGCGCGTAATTCAATTAACGAAACAATACGGAAAAAAAACACGACCCGAGGCCTTTAAAAGCTGCAAAAGTACAAGGAGCGTCTTGGGACAGACCGCCTACGTCCCGGTTTCGTACATTTCAATGTTGTACTGACAACTCAAAAAAAAAGTAATTTCGGAGCGATTTTGAAATAAAGACTTGGCGTCAGCGCAGCAGTTACTTCACCGACAGTGTTTGCGTAAAGTCGGCGTCCGGTAGCGGGGCACAGATGCGGAGCTCTAATTAGCTTAGCTTAGCTAGCTGCTCTTTCCGCGTAGCGTGGACTTCAAACCCTTTGCGTAACGCGATTGGCCCAACGGCAAACAGATGTGCAGCTGCGGGGAGTGTTGCTGCAGATTTCCTGGGACACGCATAAAGGCTTTTTTCCTCAACAAAAATTACATATACTACTTATTACAGCTTATAGCATAGAAGAGAAACTTAAAACCAGACAGTTTTAAAAATATCCCTAGCATGTTTTAAATACTGTCCATAAACTTTGGAAACATATAGGCTAAGCAAAAAAAGTACATCTTAAGTATACTCCCAGAAATGTAAATTATTTTTCTCAATTGTAAATAAACAAAAAAATAAAAACACCATTAAACAAACTGCATCCAAACTCATACCACAAGGTATCAAAACAATGTCTATAATCCTAACCTGTTGGTTGTATGTCTATTAAAGCAAATAAGTCTGAAATGGACAGTCATATTATATCTTGAAATAGATAACAGGGAAATTACTTAACGAATGATTCTTCAGGACTCCAGTCGTGTAGTCCTTATTCAACATAGAGCCTGTGCATGCCTACACTGTAAATGGTTTTCTATAGTATTTACAATTCACAGCTTTGAAGCACATTTGAGCAATTTAACGTATTCAAGATTTTGATTTTGCGCCAAATGGCAGCTTTAGGTATTTAATCAACACTGCCATAAAATAATAGCACAATGTTTACACTAATCATATTGTCAGAAGCAAGATATAGACCTATGTCTGGCAATCATGCAGGTGGGTAGGTAGACCAGTGAGGTTTTTCTATGTGCCCTCCATTTATGAAAGTGACTCACTGTAAGGTCTTAAGGAGTGTGGGGACTTTGCAAAGGAAGTGGATGATGTAAAAATCACAGTAGTGACTTTTTAAAACATGTTGCTGCCTCAAAAAGACAAGGAAATCAAAGTAATTCTTCTGTTTACGTATATGTTACATGTTTCTGAATCTCTTGAGATCCCCTTAATCAAACCCCTACTCTAAAAGCCTCCCTTTCATTTTGGGCAGCAACAGGCCTGCCTCAATCTTTCCAAAGTTTTTGAGAAACATGTTGCTTAGTAGCCGCCCAACTATGATATATACAAATACCATAGCACTGAAATGGCTTTTGTGAAAGTACTGAATAACTTCTCTGCACAGAGTGTATAAGTGTCTCTGTCTTTCCGCTTTTCAGAGCACCACTTGTGACACTGTGCATCCCGATTAAGGTCAAGAACTTTTGACTGAACCAAGTGCTCAGTGCTATCACTGAAACATCACCGGAAATCACGAGTATTAGCAGTGCTGCGCTACAAATTAGCACCGACTAGGGCTTGCTTACAGTTCCCTTGCACAAGGTCATTTGTACCTCCATATCATCCAGGCCATTTAAAAGTGAAATTGTTAAGCATTCTTTTTGCCTTTTTTTCACCTCCCATCAAAATATATTGCCAAAAACAAGATCCCGATGCTTCAATATCATTCTGCCTACTAACAGGCATGTGCATGAAACTTAGGACTTAGTGTTTTGTTTCCAGCAATCAGATCACTTGACCCTTATCATTATGAAGACATTCACTATTCTTTACTATTGTATATGTAGGGCTGTATCTGTACATATTTTGATATTATTTTCCAGTACTAACACTTGATTTTCATGTTTCTAGGGCATCAGGGAATAATTTTATTCCCCTAGAAAATGTACTGTAAAGCATTTTTTACTTTCAACTTGCATGTGGAAACAAGCTATTACATACAAATCAAGTGAATTTGACTGACATCACTTGAAATGGGTTCTGTCAGAGGCATTGGTGATACAGAGAGCTCACTGAGATTAAGTAGGAAAAAACATTTGAACACAATTGTTTGTCAAGTGAGTCAGTCTACAAATGCCACTGGGTTGATCTGGTAGGACAATGGTCTCAGAAAACAATTGTTATCAGGTTTTATTTTCGTTCTAAATTACATTGAATAAAAATGTGAATTTGCATTTATACATTTCCTGAGAAGTGATGTCAGACTAACGTGCTTCACTGGGGGGCTTTATGATTCACATGATATCCTCACATCCTGCTGATTGCACTGTTCAGGAAATTCCCGCCAATGTTTATATTGATGAGTGTCTTAGTCATTGAAGTTGTTTCATGTCCTTTGATATTGCGCAACCACTAGGTAGACACTCAATAGGTGTCTTTCATTTTATATTAATTATATACTTCAAAAAGAACATATATGCACAAAAACACATAAAATGAATGAATGATTAGGCCATGCCCCCCCCCCATCTATATCAGAGCACTAAACCACAAAGTTGTCATGTTTGTTTAAATGACATTTATTTCAATGCAAATAATTTATGCTAATTATCTATAAGCTATTCTATAAAATAGGCATAACAATCACAAGATGTGATCAAATGATTTTGTATTTTATAGTTATAGAAAAACAATAACAAAAAGTCAGCAAGAAAAAAATAAATGAAAAAGTGTCACTGTGGCACAGGATAAGTTTGTTCCACGACCATATCAAATATCATGTTAAGATTATACCCATGAAGGTTATTAACAAGAAATCTAAATGAATGTGAAAACCAAAATATATATATTCATAGGTGAAATACTTCAGTAGTTCTGAAAATAACAAAATTTAAATTAAAGAGCAAGACTAATGTTATTGTCTTGGTGAACCACTTCATAACCATTTATATTAAGCTGTGTATTTCCTAGGGCAACAGTGTAGTTAGCTTGAACGGTTTACATTTAAATAATGGATTATGGGAATATATTTGAATATGCAGTAGATTGCAAATACGTTTCATTTAGCTAATTTGCTACACACAGATGACTAATATTGTTAATTAAAAGTGACAATTGAAACAACAAAGCTAATTGTAAAAGACACTTGGGTGATAACAGCATAAAGAATTAGATATTAAATAACCTCAACTTTTGTTTCGGTCAATAACCAAGTGATAATGGCAGTAAAAACCTCTAAACAGCTTGAAAATTTTTATTTTTTGGTTCCTTGTCTAATTTGTTGACTATGTAGACATAACTACTTTTGGGAATGTTTCCAATATTTATCTATCTATCCATCCATCCATCCATCTATTCATACATTCATACATTCATACATCTTCTAAACACTTGTCTTGTCGGCGCCGATCCAAACCTCCTGGATAGGGTATTGGCCATTCTAACAAGCTACCTCCTATTTTGTGTTAAATCTATTTGTACAATAAATCGCACGACAGCTCTTTCCCATTTTAGATGTGTGTTTTGCAGCATTGAAGCTGAAGGCTAAGGGCTTCTTGCTACTCTGTGGGTGTGAGCGAAGTGACTTTCGCCTGCTGTGACGTCATGCGCATACCCTTTGCAGTGCAAGGAGCGTGAGAACGTAAGATAACACGGTGAAGATCTGCTGGTATTTTACGCTTTTAACAGCAACTAGTAGTGCAGCTATTTGCAATCTTTGTAAGTTTTGAGAGGTGGAAGTAGCGTTTAGTGCAAAATCCCACTAAACAAAACGCACGCAATTGTGCGAGATAACGCGATTAATATGAAAAAAAAAAAACGGATAATTTGGGAGTCGGTGTTTGCACACTCACTGCAACCTGTGATACCCGAGGGGCTGCGATCGCAGCAAAGTGCAAGTGACGCTGTTGCCAAAGGGAGAAAACTGTGGGGCATTTTAAGCACTAGCCACTTGCGTATCCTTGCTTGGAGGACTTTAAACCTAACTGCAAAATGCCTCAAAAATGCTTAAAACAAGTATAAACGAGGTGGAACATGACGTTATGTATGTTTCTAGTATAATAATTAGATATTTTGGCATACATTTATTCATCTATATTTACTAGTTTAAAAATATTAATAATAGGCCTATATAACGTATATATATATATATATATATATATATATATATA